GTTTCACATCTTCACATTTCACATTACAGTGTACGCTTAAACATAACGTACTGACGAGACTCTCTCTCAGGCCTGCTTAGGATGGGTGTTCCCTGATGTAAATAGGACTATATGACCAGGGGTGGTGGTGAGGAAGAGGAGAAAGAGAAGGAGAACGCTTTTGATACATAACACACGACCCCACAGATCTGACAAGGAAATATACCTCTTTTTGCACATCTTTAATGATCCAGCCAAGGTGCAGCAAATTAAGTCTAGTGGATTTCACTAGGAGGAGGGACTGCCAGTAACCATGATGGTTCACAACAAAATCCAAAAACCACACACTACACGGTTTATTAAGACCAACCAAAAAGACACAGAACAGGACACAAACTTCTGAGTTCTCCAGAACTTTGCATTACACTGGTTGTTTCTGTTGTTGGGTTTTTTTTAAAAAAAAGAGGGAGGAGGCACATGTCTCAGATGATAATCTTCCTGCATCCCGTGTAGAATGCCAGGTGGGCTTGAATTGATGGTTGCTGAGTCGAACTGGTATAAAGTCCCACCATCCTAAGCAGAATTCGCACCCTTCTAAAGCTCACTGACTTCAATGGATTTTAAAGGGTGTAATTCCACTTAGGTTAACACTGTTGGCCTTTTGTGGCTCCACTAACAGAGTAAATCTTGCCCTGAGTCAAATCATTCTCAATGCTGGGTCCTCTGGTGGCAGGTAGTGAGGGTCTACTATCTGAGTTCCCTGGAACTTGAAATGTTCAAGACCAAATACAGGGGCTTCTCAATGGCAGCTTTAGAACACAAATCAGGGTTATCATCACAGTGGTGTAAATTCCCCCTCAATGAAAATGACCCCCTCCCTGCAGATGTGGTGGAAAGTACCGTCAAGTCACAGCTTACAGCAACCCCGTAGGATTTTCAAGGCAAGAGACATTCAGAGTTTGCCACTGCCTGCCTCCGTGTCACAATCCTGGTAATCCCTGCAGGTCTCCCATCCAAAACCAAGATTGGGCTAGCTTCGTCCATCCAGGTACAGATACCGGACAGAACAAAGTCAGTCCACACTGGCCCTCTGGCCATGTTTCAGTGGTAGAGCACCTCTTTGCATGGGGAAGGTCACAAGTTTCATGTTTTTATCCCACTGTTCTACTAAAAAAAAATTAGCACTGGTGAGGTCTAACCAGGGGGTAAGCCTGCCAACAATACAAAAACCCAGTCACCTCCAGAGAAAGGTCCTTGGGGAGCAAGGCCTTGGGCCTGAGATCCCAAAGAGCTGCTGCCAGTCAGAGGAGAACATACTAAGTTGGATGGACCAAAAGAATATCATGTAAAGCAGCTTCTAGATGTAACTGTTGTCTACATCCAATGGTTAAGCTTCTGCAAAACCTGTCTCCCCATCAGAATATTTTACATGAATATATAAAAGCTGCTGGGTCAGGCCACTGCTCCGTCTAAACCACACTGCCGACTCTTGATTGGTGGTGTGAAGAGGAGGAGGAGGAAGAGGAAGAGGAGGAAGAGGAGGAGACTGGATTTATACCCCGCCCTTCACTACCCAAAGGTGTCTCAGAGTGGGCTTACAAACTCCCCACAACAGACACCCTGTGAGGTAGGTGGGGCTGAGAGAGCTCTTGACAGAAACTGCTTTTTCCCCCAAGAACAGCTCTTATCAGAACTACAGCTTGCCCAAGGTCATCCAGCCAGGTGCAAGTGGAGGAGTGGGGAATCATCAAACCCGGTTCTCCCAGATTAGAGTCCGTGCACTTAACCACTACACCAAACTGAGTAAATGTGAGCTAGCTCAGTTTTTTAGCCTCCGGCTCACACATTTTTATCTTAGCTCAGGGAGGATGAAGAAGAGAAGAAGAAGAAGAGATTGGATTTATACCCCGCCCTTCACCACCCAAAGGTGTCTCAGAGCGGCTTACAAACTCCTTTCCCTTCCCCTCCCCACAACAGACACCCTGTGAGGTGGGTGAGGCTGAGAGAACTCTGACACAAACTGCTCTTTTTCAAGGACAGCTGTGCCAGAGCTTGTGACTGACCCAAGGTCACATCAGCAGGTGCAAGTGGAGGAGTGGGGAATCAAACCCGGTTCTCCCAGATTAGAGTCCGTGCACTTAACCACTACACCAAACTGGCTCTCAGAGCCAACTAATTCATGCAGTAGCCAAATTGCTTGCTCACGACTTTAATGCCAGTAGCTCACAAAGTAGAATTTTTGCTCACAAGACTCCACAGCTTAGAGGGAGCATTGGTGGTGACTCTTTCCAGGTCAAGAAAAGTCTTTAGCATTTAACTGCTGAGGGCTGAACCGAAGGATTTTTTTTTTTGCAAGCAAAACACGTGTTCAGCCACAGAGCCCCTTTCATCCAGCTGATGAAGAGACGGAATGCAGGATATCACACAAACACCGCAGCTGGCGATGAATTAGTATCGCAGGGCAACTTCCTCTCATCGGGAGGACCGGGGGGGAGCAGAATACTGTGTGCAATGGATGCCTAAGCAGGAGTGATTCGCCCTCTGAAGAGCAAAACTTAAGTCCAGCAGAGACCAAGATTTACAGGGTATAAGCTTTCAAGAGTTGAGGTTTCCTTCGTCAGACTTTCAAAAGCTTATACCCTGAAAATCATGCTGGTCTAAGGTGCTACTGGACTTGAATGCTCTTCTACTGCTCGCCAACATAGCTACCCACCTGACACTATCTCCCTCTGAAGGTGTTGGAAGCACTGAGAAGTCCAGGAATTTTTAAACTTTTCCTTTGACCACCAACGGACCTCAGAAATAACCAGGCATACGGTTAAAAAAACACTATTTCGTCCCTCATAGTTGCACAGGTTTCACCCTGGAGAACTACACGGATTCATCTAGCTCAGGGTTAACTTACTTTGACCAGCAATAGATCTCCAGCAGAGAAAGGTATTTCCTGGAGGCTACCAAGATGCTGTTAACTACGGATGCCACAGATTGAACCTGGGACCTTGTGCGTGTAAAGCAGATGCTCTACCACTGAGCCAAAGCCCCTCTAGCTGAAATCAGTCGGTATTGAAAAAGTGCTTCACATTAGCTGGATCATGCCCCAAATATTAAAATAACTGTTCTTTTAAAAAAAATCACAGTGATTGAATACAAAATATCTCACGCAACATCTTCACCTTCTGCCTTTTAAGCCAAACAACCCACCCGCGGACAATGCCCAACAATTCCCAATACCAAAAAAGCACCAACACACCAATCACTCTCAGAGCAACCCTAACTCTGCCCTACTTTATGTAAAAACGTTTTTTTAAAAAAATCAGATAAATTGGAATTGCAGCAGACATACAAAGAGCCCCTTCAGAAGACAAAAAAATCCTGAGGTATGTGTAACAAAAAGGATTCCTTCCAGAAAAATAAGTGAATAAAAATAATCCCACATTCAGGACATGAATGTGATGAACAGATTTACAGATACTGTAATGTCATACCTTGAGAACAATGGCAGCCAATAGGCATCTTGGACTTACTGGTGGTGGCCAATAAGAATCTTGGATTTCTCAAGATATGTGTAGCTCTGGCTGGATGGTGTATAGAAGGCCAAGGTGGGAAATTACCAGCCTGCAGGCCTCTGACAACTTGTTTGGTGACTTTTCTAGCTCAAAGACAGGACTTCAACTTCACCCAACAGAAGAAGTTCAGCTACAATATTCTAGAAGTCCTCACTAAGCCCAGATCTCCTCCAGGTACTGGGCAACATTATTAAACATATGGAACATATACGTAAAAAAAAGGGTGAAGCCAGCTGCCTGTTTGAGGGACAAAGTCATAATTGGCTAACTCTTACATTGGACAAATTTCTGCTCCAATGTGGCTGGCATAAGAGAACACCGTACCTGAAAGTGGTGAGATACTAGGGCCACAAAACCAAGGTGGACAAAGAAGGAAGCCCCAGAACCATGCCATCAATGGCTGTTGCTACAGGTCTCCAATAGCCAAGGACACAATCCAAAGGGATATTTCTCCTGTACAGGCCTTGCTCAGATAAACAGGAACTGCTCAAGAGCATTCGTGCTCCAACAATTTCAAAAGAGCATGCGCAGGGGAATGTCCCATGGACCCTGCTAAAAAAAAAATAGCGCCTCAATTCAGACCATAGAGAAAGGAAACGGCTAGAGTGCCTGAACTTCCAGTTACAAAAACTGAGAGCAGCCACGATTCAGCTATAGGCACAGAGCAAAATTACTCTGTCCCTCGGCATCTCTATGGTGACAACCCTCTCTACTGCACTGATCTTTGGCCTTTCTGGACCCGGGAGGTGCAATCGGTGCAATTATGTGACAGGAAGTCATGTGATACCAAAGACATGACAGGAGAAAGGGGAAGGAGTTATTACAAGGCTATGACTGTGGGCTGCAGACCGGGTTACAACCACAAAGGAAAATTCAACTCCACTTTGCCTTGCCATTCTGCCTCCCTTCTCAGTGTGTGTGCAAAGAGAGGCGTGAAGCCCTCGCTCTCTGCGCAAGTGCACTAGCAGCAGGTCCTTCCAAATGGGAGCAAGAGAACAACAGGGTGTTTGGGACACAGCAGGAAGGGTTCAGTGACACACACACACCCCCGAGCCCAAACCCATGGTCCAAAGACCACTGTTCTATTGCACTGAAAGTTAAAGAGTGGAATATCGATTCAATTTTAGACTAGAACTATCAAGGAAGGATGTGATACTGTACCCCCCCTACAAGATTTCACACCAAGGGTCTTCCAACACACAACAGCCTCTGACTGAATGAGGCACCAACCACAGGGAAATCAAGGAGAGGCGCACGCAACTATGATTCAGGCGATACTAACGGAAGTCAATTATTTACAACACACAGGATTTCGTTAAAAAGCACAGAGATCATCATCATTTTTTTAGAAAAGAAAAAAAACACCTCACCCTTTGAAAACATTACAAACAACTCCTCCCCCCCTCCCACGTGTCTTTTTATTTTGTTCTGAAAAAAGTTGAGCTGGGGGGGAAAAACAGCAGAGGAAAGTGAAACGGGATGTTTCTGTACCGGAACTGCAAACAACCATGAGGGGCCAGCTGGGTTCATCCTCCACGTGCGCACATAGGGGACGGGAGATGAAAAATAGCAGCCATGACCACCTGGCTTAGGAGGCGCTTTCTTCCATGATGTTCCGCCAAGTCTTGTGAGAGTTCAAGCCACAGCTCGGAGACAGAGAGATACCGACGACAGAATCAGGTCGATGTTTCAAAGGCCAGAGCAGTGAGGTTAGTTGGTTGCTGTTTTTACTCTTTAAAAAAAAACATTCAAGAAATTTCCTCAGACCCAACTGCGTTCGGAGATGCTGGTGAAAACAGTGAACGGAATTAGCCCTTAAAATTTGGCACCGCACTTTCAGTTGTGTCTTGGGGGGAGGAGGGGAGAAATTGTGCCATCCTTCGCATCTGTGCACCTTCTAGGGCTTGCTACAAGCACAACTGGGATTGGAGAGAATGGAAACGGGGAGGGGCAGGAATAGGTCGCCCTCCGTCTCCTGTGTCCCCCCCCCCTCACTCAGCGACCGTGAAGAACTTCTGGAGGGAAAGGAGTGGTTGATGTCGGCATCAGAAGACGCAGAGAGGCAGTAGATGTAAAACGCCTTCGCCAAGAGGGCTTTCGACCGACTGGATGGCCCTCTTCCAGCGAGAGCAAAAGAGGAAGCTGTTGTGCACCTGGCTGCTCCCCTGTCACAGAAGGTCATTCCCAGGCCTTCAAGCCCATCGCCCCGGTTTCAGTTCACACCGAAGTCTCCGACTGAAGCCGCATCACGAACTTGTGCGATTTGGGGTCCACAAACTCTTCCGAGAGCTTGAAGAAAGGGATCTTTTTGGTGCTCACCACCAGGCTGAAGTCGTGGCGCTTGAGGACAAAGACCACCCCGTCCTTCAGGCCGTTGGTCACTGGCTCCTCGCTGACCAGAGTCCACTGCTTCGCGAGCCAGCGGTCTTTGTGGTACTGGATGGTAGGCCCAGCAGTCAGGTAACGTTCAAGGAATGCCTGCAAGAATAGAAAAGAGAAGATGGGCCTCAGCATGCCTTTATGCAGGTAGGGCAGGATTTTATCCTCTAAGGAACTCAGGGCAATGTACCATGGCGGTACCCTCTCCCATTTTACCCTTACAGCAACCCTGTTAGGTAGGTCACCCAACAAGCTTCATGGTAGAGGGTGGATCTTAACCCAGGACTCCCAGACTCTAGGCCAGGGTCATAGCTACGGCGGGGCATTTGGAATCCCTGCCCCCTTAATTAAAAGCCCTACCCGACAAACAGCCATGCTAGAAACCTGATTTTTTTAGGAGAGGACCCCCCCACCCCACTGCCTGCTGCTGGCAGCGGCCAGGGTGAAGAGTTCCATTGCTTGCCCACAGGCTTCCCTAGCCCTCCCACTGTGGAATTGGGGGGGGGGGCATCATGGGATCCGGGAAAAGACAAGAGGGCATTTAAATGCCTTTCGAGTTCTCTTCCACAGGGCAAGAAAGCTTAGAAGGGCACTCAAGAGTGGCACCTTGAATACGTCTCTGTGGCGTCCTCTTATTAGGGAGGACTGGTTTTCCCTTTAAATGTGCTCTTTGCTTTTGTAAGCGGGGTAGATTCTGCTGCCACCAGGAATTTAAGGATTTCCAAACCTTCTCTCTGTTTCTTTTGCTGGTAAGGTGACCTAGAGTCGGGGCTTTTCGGGGATCTAAGTGGTCCTGAGGAAAGATAGCACTAAAGTCGGGGATAAACTTGAACAAAAGGTGATTTACTGAAGTAAGAACAAAATATGAGGTTGGTTATTCTGTAACTATCTTGGATAAAGGGACTTGAAAATATGTCTATCATACGTATCACACACACAGTCTTTTTTCCTTTACTTTTTGTTTGTTTTGACACTCAGTTCCAACATTAACAGGAGCCACTCTTTTCTATAGTCAGCCACACAGGCTAAGGACATTTATACTGCCCTCTTTAAGAACTCACTCAGAACTAACTGAACACTCACTGACTTAACTCTCCAACTGAACAATTCCATCTGATTTTCAACTGTCTCTCATAACTGACACACTGACACACCCACACAGATTCACTTCAAAAACCCCTCCCACACACTGTCATCCACCAATCACAGCACATTTGTCTCTCTCAATCACTCTAGTCTACTAACCATGCACTCCAACCAAGCATTTAAAGGCACACACACTCTCATAAAACAAGAAATCATTACAGTCTCCAACAATCCCCCTTTCTGCTAGCCCAGTCCTGCTGGATACCACCTAGATCATGATGGGTCTTTCAAAAGCATTCCCATGAGCCTTTGGGAAACATGCACTGAAGGTACCACTCTTGAGTGCCCTTCTAGGCTCTACTGTCCTGTGAAAGGGAACTCAAAAGTCATTTAAATGCCTTTTGAAGACAATTAAATGCACTCTGAACTGTTTTTTCCTTGGAACTAACATGATGGCTTCCCTGTTCTTTGAAAGGAAGGAGTAGAAACAATCTCGGAGCCTCCCCCTTTGAAGGCAGGCATTCAGATTAATTAACTATAATTTAACTGTCCCCTTAAAAATTTAAATGCCCCCGAACAAAACAAAAAAATAATCCTGGCTACGGGTCTGCTCTAGACCAGTGCTGCAGCCAGTATAACAAAAGGTCATCAATGAACAGCTGCTTCTTTGTTCCAGCTGTTTTCTTGTTCTATACCCGCACCTTTGTTCCTAACTCAAAGGGCCACGTGCACCACAGATTTAGAAAACAAATACAGCACACAGCTGTACGAAAATCTGCCCTCAATGTAAACTCCTAGAGCAGGAAGGGCTATTCAGCCAACTGGCTACCCTCCTCCAAATCTCAGAGAGCAGCAGATGTTGTCTCCTCAAGCTCTTCCTTCCCAGAGAAGACTTCAACCTAGACACCAAAAGTCACTTTAAAAAGAAAAATGTTGTCTGTCCTGCCTGTGACAGAAAGCAGTGAAGGGACAGAAGAGAGTGAGTATAAAGGGGAAATTTTCTCAGTGGAGGGTGGTAAGCAATGAGGTACCACAGGGATCAGTACTCGGTCCGATGCTTTTTAACTTGTTTATTAATGATTTGGAGTTGGGAGTAAGCAGTGAAGTGGCTAAATTTGCAGATGACATGAAGTTGTTCAGGGTGGTGAGAACCAGGGAGGATTGTGAGGCACTCCAAAGGGATCTGTCGAGGATGGGCGAGTGGGCGTCAACATGGCAAATGGGGTTCAATGTGGCCAAGTGCAAAGTGATGCACATAGGAGCCAAAAATCCTAACTATAAATACACATTAATGGGGTCCGAACTGGCAGAGACTGACTAAGAGAGAGTTCTTGGAGTCGTAGTAGATAACTCACTGAAAATGTTTAGACAGTGTGCGACTGCAACAAAAAATGTCAACGCTATGCTGGGGATTATTAGGAAGGGAATTGAAAACAAATCAGCCAGTATCATAATGCCCCTGTATAAACCAATGGTGTGACCTCATTTGGAGCACTGTGTACAGTTCTGTTCACCACACCTTTGGAAAAAGTGCAGAAAGGGGCAACTAGAATGATAAAAAGGTTGGAACACTTTCCCTATGAAGAAAGGTTAAAACACTTGGGGCTCTTTAGCTTGGAGAAATGACGGCTGAGGGGTGACATGATCGAGATTTATAAGATTATGCATGGGATAGAACAGGTAGAGAAAGAAGTACTTTTCTCCCTTTCTCATAATACAAGAACTCGTGGGCACTCAATGAAATTGCTGAACAGTCGGGTTAGAACAGATAAAAGGAAGTACTTCTTCACCCAAAGAGTGATTAACACATGGAATTCACTGCCACAGGCGGTGGTGGTGGCTACAAGCATGGACAGCTTCAAGAGGGAATTAGATAAGCATATGCTTCCATTATATGAAATAAATAAATATGGAGCAGAAGTCTATCAGTGGCTATTAGCCACAAGGTATAGACAGGAACCAATGATCCCTCTAAGCTGTGGAGTCTTGTGAGCAAAAATTCTACTTTGTGAGCAACCAGCATTAAGGCTCTGAGCAAGTGATTTGGCTACTGCATAAATGAATTTGCTCTGGAGCCATCATTCCTGAGCTAAGACAAAAATGTGTGAGCCAGAGGCCAAAATATTGTGAGTCAGCTCACATTGACAGGAACTCTCAGGCTGGGGCAAGTAATGTTCTGTATTCTTGGTGCTTGGGGGGGGAGCAACAGTGGGAGGGCTTCTAGTGTCCTGGCCCCACTACTGCACCTCCCAATGGCAGCTGGTATTTCTGGCCACTGTGTGACAGAGTGTTGGACTAGATGGGCCACTGGCCTGATCCAACATTGGCTTCTCTTATGTTCTTATGGAATCCTGTAGCCACGACAGCACCAGCATCCGTGTTGGACTGCTGTAATGCGCTTTACAGGGGGCTCCCACTGAAAACTGTCTCAAAACTGCAGCTGGTCTAGAACGTGAATCAGAAAGCTAACAAATGCTAGCCGCAGGGAATATATCTCCCTAATAACAAAGGTCTTCACTGGCTCTCAGTTTGTTTCAGGGCCACAGTCCTAAAATGATGGCCTGTAAAAGCCCTATGCTGGCATATCTTCAGGACCACTTGAACTAATTTGCCCAGCAGCTGAGATCTGTATCAGTGACACCACAGCAAGCAGCTTGACTTCCCAAACCCCACCACTAATGCCGAAGATTTCCAATGCGATTTATAGGAGTCGCCTGACAAGAAGCCCACCGTGGCTAGCACTGGCTTCCAACGAGACCCCTTACCTTGGGCGTCATGTCATGGGTGATGCAGAACTCCAAGTGTTGCAGGATGCTCTCCATCGTGTGGTAGGGCTGCTGCTTGGTGGTGCGCAAGTATTTCTGCATGGCCCGGGCCATGGAGGCGAAGATAGCCTGGGCTGCCTCTCGCGGGTCCATGATCTCCCGCGGGTTTTTCTGATCCTCCTCCTGGAGCCGTTTGATGTGCGTGAAGGCCTCTTCTACAGCCACCACTAGCCTGTGGAGACAAGAAAAACGACCCATGATAGTACGCCAGAGAGCTGTGCATTACATCCCTGCTCCTTCCTGAGCAAGATGAGGTGACGGGGACAGGGAAAAGGAAGACCAGAGAATCTAAACCATGCACTAATATGCTAAGCTGCTGTTAACAGCATGGAATGTTCCCAATCATTCAATCTGCTCAGGGAACAAAAACTGTAATAGTGTCTGCAGTCCAACTTCTATGAGGAAATGGGCAACTATCCATTTGTAGTGGGACTAAAACCCCAGGAAATTAGAGAAGGTTTGTAGGGCTGGATTAGACTGAGCAGGTATACTGGCAAGGAAAAAAACAGGAATGTAAAGGGAAGAATTGGAAGGAGGAGGTTTGAAGAAAAAGAAGAGACAGAGCATTGAGGCAGTTTCACAAACTGACTTGAAGCAGCTCATTCTTTTGCTTCAGGCTCACGGCAACTGAGGACTCCCAGAATGCCCTCTAATTTGTACACAAAGTCAAGGGGAACCGTACTCCCAGTGACAACAGAATACCATAACAAGATTTTCCAGGACTGTAATACGAGACTACATTGGGAGAAAATGCATATTGGAATGCTCGTAAATGGGGGGAGAGAAAAAACCCACAACTCCCTGCACACAGAAAGCCAGCAAACCAAGGAGAAAGCTATCCTCCGCACCTTCTTCTTGACATGTTCTTCCTTTATTAATGATCCTTCACATTTCATTATCGATTACTTATTTTACAAGCCTGGTTCCTTGCAGGCTGGACAGATCTCCTGGCGTGGTGGTCCAAAGGCGTGAGCAAAGTTTCTCCCCTCCAACTACCTCCTTGCCCACCTACAGAGACCCCCACCCACCCAGGGGTTTTTTGGCTTGAGAACTAGAAGGCTCCTAAGAAGACTAAGCTGCCCTTTGTGGACAGGCTTTGGCTGTATGAGGCACTGTGGGAGGGAGCGTAAGCAACCAGCTGTTCCTGACTGAGTTAGTTGAAGGCTGGTTAACCTGGTATGCTTCTCTCTCTCATAAATGCAAGCTAACTGGATGAGGCTGATGGCTTCTCCCTTTCTTAAGCAAACTTTTAAAATTAGACTATTGTTTCTTTTTAATTAAGACTATTGCATTACCATTGATGCTATTTTAGAGTGTCGCGAGCAGGTCCCTCCCCCAAAGGAGCTTTCAATGTATATTTCAAAATGTGGGGAGACAACAGAGAAAACAAGGACCAAGTCAACCTCTGCTTCTTCCCTCCAAAAAAATGGCAGAGGCCCCCGCCTCCGGGCAGCTGCGGCAATGACGGCCCGCGACTGGCTCGTTGAGTTGTTGGTCGTGTTTTCTGGAGGATGGGAGAAAGGGGCGTCAGGGGAGGGGGGGAAGAGTCAGAATTCTCTTTCCTGATCATCTCCTGAGATTCTTGCCCGTTTTCAGGTACAGCAGCCTGAGCCACACAAAGCAGTACCCCTGAACCTGTTTCTGAACCCAGATCCTTGTTGCGCTTTAGGCTTAAATTTGACACAAAGGAGGCAGGCCTGAACTGAATGTTCGTGCCTAAAGTGGGAGACAGGGTGCAGCTGCCAGGAGGTAACTGGAAAAGCAAGAGGAAGGATCAGCTGCCCCACCTTTACAACCCCTCTTGCTCTAAAAATCCACCACCACTCGCCCCCCTGTCCTGGGAGTGCTTGTCTCCCAGCTACGGGCCACCATTTGGTAGGAGACTCAGTGCCAAAGCACTGTGCCCAAGCTCAGTGCCCAAGCACCTGCTTGGCATGCAGAGGGTCCTAGGCTCAACCCCCAGCATCTTCAGCTAATGTGATCTCAGGCAGCAAATGCTGGAAATGACCTTTCTCTGCCTGGGACTCGGGAGAGCAGCTGGCAGTCAAAGGAGACAAGATGGAGCGTCACATCAGCAGAAGGCTCCGTTGTATGTTCTTAGGCCAAACTGCTGCCACTGGCATTTGACCAGTGATTTCCCCACCCACCACCCCATAGCACCCAATGTATTTCCTGGCTCCCACTTGCTTCCTCCCCAAAGCAAAAAGCTGGTCCCCGCTTTCCACCTCCTCTCTGCTCCAGGAGCTTCAGAAAACGCCAGGAGGTAGCACCCTTTTCTCTGCAGGGAGCACCCATTCAGAAGCAGCTGCCTCCACTGTAGGAGAATACTTGGCTTGGAACTTCCCAACACTTTGCGGAACCTCCCACCATTTTGATTTGGCCCTAGTCCGTCATCCTCCTGGGCAGCCCTTTTGTGATTCCCATTCCTAGTGCTCAGAACTCCAAAAGCTCCCACAAATAGGGATGGGCATGAATGGCCTCACGAACGTAAGTTCATGATAAATTTTGACCGGTTCGTGGTTTGCGAACTGAAGATCCACCACAAACTTCCATGAATTTTAAGGCAGCTTCCAATCTTTCCACTCTTCACAAACAGCAGCTGAGCGGTGGGGAGCGGAAAGCAGGGGTTTAAATGGCTCTGAGCCATTTAAACTACCTGCTTTCCGCTCCCCACCGCTTTTCACAGGAAACCCCTACTTTCTGCTCCCCGTCATTTTTTCATATCAGTTCGTGGTTCAGTACATGCCCATCCCTACCCACAGGCTTAACCAAGCTGGGGGCACCCTTGACTTAGATAGTACTAGGGCAGACAGGAAAGCGCAGAGGAAAAACTGGTGGAAGGGGAGCTGGGGGGGAATGAAAAGTACAAAAGAAGCCTTCCTGTTGAGCCCAGTTTTCATGACCACATCAGGCCAAGTAGTAAAGGCACATGGAACCTAGGAGGAGAATGTGTCATAAATGGCTCTGACGTCACTTCTGAGTGAATACCATAGAGATCTGATCAATTCCTGGAGCGTCACAGGGCCTCACAGGGAGGAGGAGGACATTACTTCGAAGCCCCACTGTGCCAGAGATGCTTGAACTAGTCTTAGGGTTCTTTCACACATGCTAAATAATGCGGTTTCAATCCACTTCAGCAACTGTTTGCGAATGGATTTTGACATTTCACACAGTGAAATCCAGTTGCAAAGTACACTGAAAGTGGATTGAGAGTGCAATATTTCGTGTGTGTGTGTGTGTCTGTGTGTGTGAGTGTGAAAGCACCCTTATTCTTTCAATCTAACCTACCTCACAGGATTGTTGTTGTGAGGATCAAGGGGAGAAAAGCATGCTGGTGTAAGCCCCTTTAGATCCTTGTTTAGGTCCCCGTTGGGGAGAAAAGCAGGGTATCAGTATCTAAGTAGACAGATACAAACACTCTTATCCGAGATGGAGAGGGGATAAGAATGAGTTAAAAGAGCAGCACGGAGACAGGGCAGAATCCAAATTCAGTTTCCCAAAGAACTGGAAAATCCCAGTTTCCTAGATCATATCGTTCCAGGCGAAGTCTGAAAACATGTGGGTAATTCCTGACACCAAAAAAAACACCCACATCCACCCTCACTCACGGCTCCTCTTGGCTCCGAATCCGGGTAGGTCGGTTTGTTTTTAGCACGGAGTAAAACACACAGGCTGTCTTATAATTGCTAATTTGAGCAATTATTGTAATCACGTACAATCAACGTGGGAGGAAGGCGGGCCAGGGGAGGCGGCAGAAAATAAGGGTGAAGACAGACTGTCAGAGAGAGCGAGGAAAACAAACACAGAGAGGAAGTCCCAGGGAGGGGCAGCAACTCAGAGGCAGAGCGCGTGCTTTGCATACAAAAAGACCCGGATTCAAACAGACACAGGCAGCAGGAGACAGTAACGCCGGATGGACCTTAAAGCAGTTCCACGGGAACTGGTGAGCTGTGAAAGAGGCGGCAACTCAGGTGCAGCCTTTGTCTTTCGAAGGTCCTCAGTTCCATCATGGCCACCTCCAATTAAAAAGATCTCAGGCAGTGGAGGCTGAGAAATCCTTTTGCTTCCCCATTTCAGGCAGCAGGTGGATGAAAGGCCTCCCTCGGCCGGAGTCCTTGGAGCATTAACGCCAGCCAAAAGAAGCCATGGATGGAGCCACGGCTTGAGGCAGGACCTCACATGAAGCCACCTTGTATTGCATCAGACCCTTGGTCTATCCTGGTCACTCTTGTCTACTCAGACAAGGCAGTGGTTCTCCAGGTTCTTTCACATCACCTCCTTTCAGATCCTTTTAGGTGGACATGATGGGGAATGAACCTGGGCCCTTCTGCATGCCAAGGAGGGACTCTGTCACTGAGCCACAGCCTCTCCCTGCCCCCCACCGACGGGCAGCTTCACATGTTCACCAGGCACATCAGCTTAACGACAGAGCATTTACTTTGCAGGCAGAAGGCCTCAGGTTCAATCCTTGTCATTGCCAACTTAAAAGGATTTCAAGCAGCTGAAGTGAAAAAGACCTTAAGGGGCTTTTGCAAATCATAACTGACACCTGTGTAACAATGGTATAAAGCAGACTCTTGGGCCAGGGGTCCCCAGCCTTTTTAAGCTTGTGGGCACCTTTGAAATTCTGGAAAAAAGCCACTGGGCACAAAAACAAAATGGTTGCCACAGGAGGCAGAGCCAATCAAAAAGTGGCTGCTGCAGTAGGCGGGACCAACCACGAGATGTCAGGGATTGATGTTATGCACAACTCGAATAGTAACTCTTCAAAGTTTCAGGCAGAAGCGCTGCTTAACTGGATGCCTTTTAATCTGCACAGCCAATCGGAAGCCCTGCTGGGAAAGAGCTCCCCCTAGCCCCCCACCCGCTTTCTAAAAGCTCTTGGCAGGCACCAGGGAAGGTGCCCATGGGCAACACGTTGGGGACCCCTGCTTTAGGCCCTGGCTCAGAAGTAGAGCACCAGTTTTTCAAACACAAGGTCCCAGGTTCAATCCCCAACATGTCCAGTTAAAAGGATCTCAGAAGAAAGGGAACGATCTCGTTCTGTTTGACATTTCAAAGAGAGACCCTGCTCCCAGAGCACAGAATACTGAGCCAGACAAAGAAATGGCTCAACGCAATCTAAGGCAGTTTCATGTGGTCAGGAGACAGAAGACCGCTTACCTTCTCCAAGTGAGTACACCTTGAACCCAGACATTTTCTTGGACAGAACTGACTTTGGCAAGTTAAGGAGGGCAGGGTTGTAAACCGGAAAGTCATGGTAGTAATTTTCAAGGATCCACACGGCAACTCGCTGGATGCTGCAGGGAGAGACAAGGGAAGACACGAGGCATGGGGTGTGCAAGGTCTTCGGTTCCATTTGAAGTGGGAAGAAGAGTTTCATCTAACCTTATCCACCAAAGTTTTCAGCTCTCTGCGAGGAATGCTGAGACACACAGGAAACAAGCCTAAATTTGGCCAGCAGAGGGCAGCAGCAAGGCTTTTTAGTATTACCCATGCACGGAAGCCACAGAGTTTTCCCACATTCTTCTCTGTTCCTTCTGACCCCCACTCGAGAAAAGAAAAGTCGGGGGGGGGGGGGGGGGGGCGCACAAAATCTGTATGGAGGGACTGCCATAGGGGTGAGTGAGCTATAGTGAGGAGGAACTAGGGTATGAAATTGGCTCCTTTCCTCAGCACAGCTGTGCTTGAGAGCCAGAAAGGTGCAGTGGTCAAGAGCTGTGGGATTAGTCTCTGGGACACCCAGGTTCAAATCCCCACACGCCACGGAAGCTCACTGGGTGACCTTGGGCCACTCACACTCTGCCTAACCTACCTCACAGGGTTGTTGTGAGGATAAACATGGAGAACAGAATGATGTCAGCCAGTTTGGTGTAGTGGTTAAGTGTGCGGGGACTCTAATCTGGGAGAACCGGGTTTGACTCCCCACTCCTCCACTTGCACCTGCTGATGTGACCTTGGGTCAGTCACAAGCTCTGGCACAGCTGTCCTTGAAAAAGAGCAGTTTGTGTCAGAGTTCTCTCAGCCCCACCCACCTCACAGGGTGTCTGTTGTGGGGAGGGGAAGGGAAAGGAGTTTGTAAGCCGCTCTGAGACTCCAAGTGAAGGGCGGGGTATAAATCCAATCTCTTCTCCTCCTCCACTTTGGGACACACACACACACACCCCCCACTGGCCAGAAAAACAGGATACAAATGAATTAAATAAATAAATAAGTAAAAACTGTAGAAGAGGAAGAAAGAGCAGTTTTACCCTCTCACTGCAGTCCCTCAACCTATGCAGTTATTCCCCCACATGGGTCCTGCGGTCCTGGAAATTACCCTTTTGGGGGGTTGTGAGGGGATGCAGAAGCAGAGGAACATGGGAACCCGAGACCATTTGTGCACAGAGGGGTAGGGTACATGCTGCCATCTTCTCTCTTAGGTACACATACATGTTTATTCATCATTCAGAACATTTCTACACCACCTTTCCAGACCCGCATCAAAAACACATACCCACAGAGGGGTAGGGTACATGCTGCCATCTCCTCTCTTAGGTACACATATATGTTTATTCATCATTCACAACATTTCTACACCACCTCTCCAGACCCGCATCAAAAACACATACTGAAAAGAGGCCCACTGCTGGCCGTACCATCCCTTACCTGAGATGGCCGACATTATAAAACCGACTGGCCCCATCGGTCGAGCGCACCACCTTGAGGGTGAAGTGGGGCTGGAGCTGCCGCAGCTCGAGAAGAACCACAGCCAGGTAGTGGACGAAGAGGAGGGCGTCCACGAGGGAGACGGCGTACTGCACAATGCCCTGGTAGTTGGTGTCGCGCGAGTCCAGGATGCGGACGCCATAGAAGAGCCAGTAAGAGACCACCAGGAGGAAAACCAGCACCATGAGCAAGGCCCGGAAGACAAAGATGCGCGGGAAGAAGGCCTTGGGGCGGCGGAAGAAGAGGGCCCAGCTGCCCAAGAGGAGGATAAGGAGCTTGAAGGCCACCGAGATGAAGAGTCCCTCGCAAGGTGTCCCGCAGGGCTCCAGTTTCTCTCCCCACAGCAGCTGGGGCAGGAGCATGAAGGCCAAGGGGGTGAGGAAGGAGAGGAGGGCCAAGGCCCCGCCCAGGGAGACGCCCAGGTGCCGTGAGCAGTCCAAGTGGGCGCTGTCCTCCATGTCCTTCGTGATGCGTGTGATGTCATCGTGGGAGATACTGTGCTCCGACGTGCCTGTCACCACCGTGGTGGTCTCCCCCCAGTTGTCATCCTGCCAGGAAGGGAAGACACAAAAAGGGGAGGTTACCCAAGCCGGTGTCCCTTAAGCCACACCCCTTTCCCAGGATTCTTTGCCAGTCCGAGGCCACTTCCCATCCTAAGGGCCTTTAATGTGCTTCTCGTTAACAATGGGGTGAGACTCTGGCAAAGGTATATGCTTCCCTGCAGTGCTCTCTCGTCACAACAGTGTGAAGCTCACCATGGCAACTCACCATTGATACAGGACCTGGCTTAATACTAGACCTGTTTGGTGTAGTGGTTAAGTGCGCGGACTCTAACCTGGGAGAACCGGGTTTGATTCCCCACTCCTCCACTTGCACCTGCTGATGTGACCTTGGGTCAGTCACAAGCTCTGGCACAGCTGTCCTTGAAAAAGAGCAGTTTGTGTCAGAGTTCTCTCAGCCCCACCCACCTCACAGGGTGTCTGTTGTGGGGAGGGGGAGGGAAAGGAGTTTGTAAGCCGCTCTGAGACTCCGAGTGAAGGGCGGGGTATAAATCCAATCTCTTCTTCTTCTTCTTCTCACTAAGCTAGTAAATCGGTTTCTGGACTGCGGTTGAGCTATTACATGACTGGTTGTTCCTCTAGGAAGAGGGAAAAATCCCATACATGCACAGAAAACTAGAACATCCGGGAAATGGCTAGGCTACTACCCTTCTCCTCTACTCAAAAACCCCCTTCGTACAGCCAGAAAAATGGGGGGGGCCAGGAACACCTCCCCCTACCCAGTACGGTAATCCTGACCAGAATTAGGCCCCTGTGGCGCTGCTAGAAGGAGTTTCCTGAAGGAAATTCACTCTACAAAATGGAGGTGCATCCTAAGGGTGAACTCAGGGATGCCATCTCATCACTTTTGGCCCCGAGATCCCTTGAAATGAGAGACTGCTGGGGACAGAACATGAGACTGTCAGCAAGTAAGACTCTACCACAGAGCCATGCCCCCCCCTCCTAACTTCTGGCTAACTATGGGTATGACCGTAACAACTGAATACATGCCATTTATACTGTCCTGCTAACAACATTTTAAGAATATGGTCAAATTTAGAAGAAGAGATTGGATTTATACCCCCGCCCTTCACTCGGAGTCTCAGAGAGGCTTACAAACTCCTTCCCCCTCCCCTCCCCACAACAGACACACTGTGAGGTAGGTGAGGGTGAGAGAGCTCTTTCCAGAACGGCCCTTGAGAGAACAGCTCTGACAGAACTATGGCTTGCCCAAGGTCATCCAGCAGCTGCAAGTGGAGGAGTGGGGAAATCAAACCTGGTTCCCCCAGATTAGAGTCCGCGCACTTAACCACCACACCAAACTGGTATAGAAATTTAACGTTTTTATACCGGGCTTAAAGTGTCTCAAGCTTCTATACCACATTCAAAGTGTCTCAAGCACTTCTACGTGTATGGTAAAGTAGTATTATCCCCATCTTGCAGACCGGGGCAGGGAGAGATGCTAAAGCTGAGAAAGAATGAATTGGGGGGGGGGGGGGTATTTAAGGTGACCCAAGGAATCCATGGCAACAGCAAGGCTCAGACCAGGATGACCCTGTCTCACCCTCCGCTTGCCAACCCACCACACAGCTATAACAGAGTCAGGCCTTGTTCGAAGCTGCCATACTTTCAAAATGAAAATAAATGCCCCAAATGGAACATAAACCTTTTAAGACGCTTCTGGCAATCAACCTAGCAGTTCGAAAGCAAGAAATTGCAAGTAGATCAATAGGTACCACTTCGGTGGGAAGGTAACAGCGTTCCGTGTGCCTTGGCGTTTAGTCATGTCGGCCACATGACCACGGAAACGTCTTCGGACAGCGCTGGTTCTTCGGCTTTGAAACGGAGATGAGCACCACAACCCTAGAGTCGGATTCGACTAGCTTTCGAGCAAGGGAGACCTTTACCTTTACCTTTTAGTAATCACCTATATACTGTGTCTTTGTACGTACCTTTGCATTCACTATATGACGATATTTGTTGTTGATATTTTTGCTCAAAAACCACTGTTACATCCACAATGTACATACTGTGAAACAGTTACTAAAAAACAAAAACAAGACTAACAAATGAAAGACATGTACGCTCCTTAAGCGCTGTCAATTTCAAGAGACTGTCTCCCGCCGCAGCTTATGAATTAAATCGTGACTATGCTGCTATTCTTCACAAGACTGAAACTTAATATAACAGTCTCTAAGTTTTTACTTCCGTTGCAGGATTGTCGCAGTCAGAAGAAGAGAAGAGACTAGATGACTTGTGTGTTTCAGGTTGAAGTTCATCAGGACGTGAGCACAAAACTCTTAAATGTTGAAAGTGTGACTGTAGCCCTGACCTGGATAGGCCAGGCACACCCGATCTCGGAAGCTAAGCAGGGTCGACTCTGGCAAGTATTTGGAATACCTTGAAATACCAGAGGCAGGAGGAGGGCACAGGCTTTCTTCAGCCACCTCTCTGAATATGCTCCAGCCCCCCCGGTAGGGGTTAGTCACCAGAGGTCGCCATGACTTTCAGGTGCACACACACTCACACGCACAAACATATAACAAAAAGAAAAGAGTGACTGTAGACAAAGAGGTATTGTTGTGTTGTGGAGGGGATACCTCCACCTCTCACAGTTAAAATATCAACAAAAAAATATAGTAAAGTGCAAAGATATCCTGTACGCACTACAAAGACAAAGTATATAGGTAATTACTATAAGTGTTAAACGGTTATGTTCCATTTCAGTGTATTTGGACATTTATTTACACACCGAAAGTTTCCCCCTCGTTTTCTCTTGGTACTTTCAAAATGAGCATAAGCAGAGTATTACCTCCTGGTTTTCGTCACAGATGTATAAGTTCCCTTCACCAATATAATACAGTGGAACTACAAGCCCACACTCCCAGAAATACTACTCATGCTTTGTGCTCCGGAAGGCTAGTCAGGAAAAGGAAGGGAGTGACCACAAAGGCCATGAGCCCTCCCCGCTCT